TAGTTTCATCAGGGTCCCTCCACACATCTGCATCCAAGTTGCAGGGTCCCATCATTTTTCAATCAATGCCCTCACTTCAACAGTAGACACCTTGAGGTTGTGCATGCACCTTTCATTGCAGTCAACCACTCTCATGATAAGAGCTTTTGTCTATTTTTCACAATTTCAGCTCTTTCTCTACAGGAGATAAGATTCTCGCTCAGGGCAATCTTAGCAGATTTGAGGCTCAGTATCTGCTTCTGAAGCCAGGGGTTAGAATTCCTGAGTTCATTATTTTCTTTTTTTTTTTTTTTTTTCTTTTTAAGTTCTGATAACCCACTACCATCGGACCAGCCCATTATTTTCTTTCATCACTTTGTCCACTGAACTTAGGAGTAACCACCAGCTTCATTATGTTCCTTGGTTCTCCACATATGGTCAGCGGTATTATGTATAGAGTCGCTAAACTCCTTGCCTTTCATGAGCAGTAAATCAGGAGTGTCAAATGCATTATTTTGCATTACTCTGTAAACCATTCACATCAAGGACTATCAGTGTTCTCCAAACTATTAGAAGTAGAATCTGTAGCATTTTGGGGTATAATCATATTAAGCAGCCAACTCAAAAAACCCCAAAACCAGTAAAAGAACTCCATCCTTAATACTCTATTCCTCTAGAATCATTTCTGGTATCAAAAATCAATATTAGTCAGGGTTCTCTAAAGAGACAGAACCAATACGATATACATATATATTTATATATCTATGAAGGGACATTTATTAAGTATTAACTCCCAATGCCACAAGATCCCACAATACGCTGTATGCAAGCTGAAGAGGAGGGAGAGCCAATCTAAGTCCCAAAACTGAAGATCTTGAAGTCTGATGTTCAAGGGCAGGAAGCATCCAGTATAGGAGAAAGATGTAGGCTGAGAGGCTAGGCCAGTCTTGTCAGTTCACATTTTTCCTGCCTGCTTGTATTCTAGGCATGCTGACAGCTGATTAGATTGTGCCCACCCAGATTAAGGGTGGATCTGCCGTTCCTGGCCCACTAAATAAAATGTTAATCTCCTTTGGCAACACCCTCACTGACACACCCAAAATCAACACTTTGTATTCTTCAGCACAGTCAAGTTGGCACTCGCTATTAACCACCACACCTATGTAATAAACCTGCACATCCTGCACATGTACCCCAGAACATAAAAATATAAAATAATTTTTAAAATTGGCATGTAAAAAATAATTTTAAAAATTGGCAAAGTGTTTGAATAGACATCTCTTCAAAGATATACAAAGGCTAAACAAGCACACATGCAAAAAAAACACGCAAAATCATAAGTCATTAGAAAAATTCAAATCAAAACACAGTAAGACATACTTTCACATCTACTAGGATGGCAAATTTTTAAAAGGCAGACAATGAAAAGTATCCATGAGAATGTAGAGAAAATGAAATGTAAAATGATGCAATCAGTTTCACAGTTCTTAAAATATTAGACATGAGTTATCATATGACCTAGTAATTCCACTCCTAGGTACATATCCAAAATAATAGAAGACAAATGTCAATCAAAAACTTGTACATTAATTTTTACAATGGCATTATTCATAATAATCCAAAAGTGGAAACAATCCAAATGTCTATCTCCTAATAAATGGCAAAGGATATGTTGTGTATCCATACAGTAGCATATTATTTAGCCATAAAAGAGAATGTCATATTGATTTATGCTACAACATGGATGAACCTTGCAAACGAAGAAGTAAGATACAAAAGGACACATATCATGTGATTCCATTTATATGAGATGAATAGAACATACATTCAACGAAACAGAAATATGCTAGTGGTTGCCAGAGTCTTGGAAAGTGAAGGACAAATGGAATTTCTATTTCCAGGTCCTTGAGGAACTGCCTCACTGTCTTCCACAGTGGTTGAACTAATTTACACTCCCACCAACAGTGCAAAAGTGTTCCTATTTCTCCACATCCTCTCCCAGCAATCCCATTACTGGGTATATATCCAAAGGATTATAAATCGATCTATTATAAGGACACATGCACACAAATATTCATTGCAGCACAGTTTACAATAGCAAAGACTTGGAACCAACACAAATGCCCATCAATGACAGACTGGACAGGGAAATTATGGCACACATATACCATGGAATACTATGAGGCCATAAAAACAATGAGTTCATGTCCTTTGTACGGACATGGCTGAACCTGGAAACCATCATTCCCAGCAAACTGACACAAGAACAGAAAATCAAACACCACATGTTCTCACTCATAGGCAGGTGTTGAACAATGAGAACATGTGGACACAAGGAGAGGAGCATCACACACTGAAGTCTGTTGGTGGGGGAACTAGGGGAGGATCAGTGGGGAACGGTGGGGAGTTGGGGAGGGATAACATGGGGAGATATGCCAGATATAGGTGATGGGGAGGAAGGCAGCACACCACATTGCCATCTATGTACCTATGCAACAATCCTGCATGTTCTTCACATGTACCCCAAAACCTAAAATGCAATAAAACATATATATATATATATAGAAAATGAAGGACAGGGAGTGAATGCTATGGATACAGTTTTCTTTGCATTGTTATGAAAATGTTCTGGAATTATATATTAGGGATGGTTACGTAGCTATGAATATAATAAAAACACTGAATAGTACATTTTAAATGATGGATGCTATGATTTATAAATTATATCTCAATTAATACTTATACTCGAGGCTGCAATGATGACTAGCTGAGATTCAACCACAAGCTTCCTGTAATCATGTGTCCAAAATATACAAAGACACAATGTGATGCTCTGCATCAAGAGCATCATATTGATATTAGAGTAAATGTAGAATTAGCTGGTATTACATTTTTATAGTAATATTGGCCACTTACTACGTGCCAGGCAATTTGTTAAGTGTTTTACCTACAGACACTAGATTAGTGGTTGCAGGCATGGCTGATGACACTGTTGGGGAGATGGGAATGGGAAGTCACCACTAACAAATATGGTTTTTAGTGGGAAAGGTGATTGAAATATTCCCGAATTAGAAAACATTAATATTAATGTTCACAACTCTGAAAATACATTACAAATCACTAGATTGCACACTTTCAATGGTAAAATTATATAATATATGGATACTTCTATAAAACTCATTTTTAAAAAAAAAGAGAAAATGGAAGCTTTTGGTAAAAGAAATAGCCATTTTAACAGTCATTAATAGTAATTATAAAAACATTAAAAATAATTCATCTTTACTGAGGTTTCGGTATGTCCCAGACATTATGCTGAGGGCTTTATCATACTTGCCATTGTGTGACCTCATGGAACTGGGTATCATCGTTAACATTTTTGGTACCTTTAGTGTACAGATGACAAAAGCTAAATGTTTGAATCATTCATATCTTTCTGATAACAAACAACAAGCAGTGCTGGTGCCATGATCCATATCCAGTGAAAACAGCAGAACTAGAGCTTCCAATCTCCAACTACATGCCTCTATACTTTTGAGATTATCTTGCTATGTTACTGCTATTCCATCCCAATGCATTTGTCACCCAGTAAGATTAAATGCTGGGTAGCATCTTTTTGCATTATTACCTTCCATCTCTTCCCATCCACAAACACAGCTTCCAGTGTTTTTCCTGGGAACTCTGTCATTGGGTCAGTTTTCTGTGGTTTGTCATCAAGTGGAGATGAGTTTGACAAGGACCTTCCTTAGGATTTGATGGAAGTACCCCAATCAGAAAAATCAAGGAGCTGATTGAGTGACTGGCAGAAGAGAAAGCCTGTGGGGGGCGGAGCTCTCATTTGGCTCTTCATTTGGCACCAGACTGTTCACATCTAAAATGTGGGAGACAGGCGTATGTTCTGGAGAAGGAGATACTGCTCTTGTTTCACATTTCCATGTAAATGTACATCAACTAATGTAAGATTTTTGTCTGTTTTTGCCTATTTACTCATTCTTTTCCAGAAGAGATCTAGATAATTAGATCACATGGCAACTTGAATTGGGATTGCCCAGTTTCTATTTTCCTCTCCTTCTCTCTCTGGTATCTACTTTTTAGGGAAGTATGCACACTGTTCTACTGTAAACCATGGGGTAAATTTATTGGTAAAAGCTATTTTCCTTTTGGAATGTGAGGGACTGATGTGGATGAGATTGGGAGTGAGAAACAGTGCTGAGACTCTCTAGTTTTGTCTGTGCTCGGTATGAAAGTTTTTCTCAATGTGAAAGCTGCACAGGTAATTAACGTACATATGCCCTCTTCTCCATCATCATCTCTGTCAGCAACAGCCTGCCATATTGATCACTGTATGCTTGACTCCTTCTTCTAAACAACTAGTTTTTAACTCAAAGAAAAATATTTGTTTTTTATTGGCCCTCCAAACAGGATCTAAACGAAAGGGAGTACAGGTCAGGCATCTTATCAGCAGGTTCAAATCTAGGCATTAACGAGGGTAGATATTTTGCAGGATGATATGTAACCCTGCCCTGCTTACCACAGAAGGATTCAGAGCTAACATCTTAACTAAACCATACAAGGCCACTAAGTTCTATTGGAGTTGAAATTGAGTTCTGATTATTAGCTGCAATATTCCAGATGCCTAGCACATTACCTGGCCCATAATGGATGTCTAAATATGACATAAAATTAATAAACGAAGGCTTCTTAGGTGTTACATATGTGATATATGTGTGTGTGTGTATATATATACAATTTTATAAATATTTTATTTTTATAAATATAAATATATGTGCAAAATTCATGTTATATATTACATGTAAGAAATTACATGTAAGTTATATAATTTATATTTTATATTTAATTTATATATTATTATATCTTTATATACAATATGCATTTCTAACTATGTGTATTTATATTCCTGAAGGACCCAGCAGGCGTGGATGCTACAAAAATAGATAGCTATATGTATGTCAAAATTTGATGATTTTCGGTTCTGTTCATGCCCTTTTAAAAATTACATTTCACTACTTACCTGGCAGGGGAGATACCACGATCATGACGGTGGTTTTCCCAGGGCGAGACTCAGCCATTGCACTACGGATGTGCTGACCCCTGCGATTTCCCCAAATGTGGGGAAACTCGACTGCCTAATTTGTGGTAGCAGGGGACTGCGTTCATGCTTTCCTCTGGTAAAAAATGAAATTACATTCCACTGAAACATGTATGTGTGTGTATGTTAAACATAATTTCATTATTTCATTACACAAACAAGATTTGTAATATTGTACTAGTTTTATAGATGAAGCTAGATTTTTGTGGTTTTAATTTTAAAGGAACACCTTAATTCTACTTCTCAGGAAAGAAGTATAATGAGAAAATTAAGTTTCGGAACTTAAAAACAAGAAGCTATTTGATTGGTATAATGGTTGTGAAATGGGAAAGTGAAGAATTTTGAAATCTGAAACATTAATCCAGAAATCAACTGAGACCATTTTTGTTTCATTAGAAGTTACATGACTGTTTATAGACGGGAAAGTTAGAAGGATTTTTAGAAGGAAAAGGCTGTATCTATGAAGCCAATTGGAGTGCAGAGGTGAAACGTTTTTTCTCGTAGACCTAATGTCTAACACTGTATGTTCCCTTAGGCTTAATCATAAAAGTTAGGACATTTATTTAATCTCACTCCATTAATTCTCAGTCCAGCATATTTCAAAGAGTGACTGTATCAGTAGAATTTCATTGAACATACTTAATGATAATTTACCTACATTAAACTGATTTTATTCCTAAGGTGTGAAAATGAAACTAGTCTCACTCATTCTCAGGCTATTCTCTGCTTAGTCAGAGCAAGTAAACACCCTCACTCAAATCTAAATCTAAATTTTCTAGCCTAGAGTCTTTCAACGATTCCTTATGACCTGTAAAATGAAACACACAATTTGGAATAAGGCAAAAAGAAAAAAAGTAACTTCACTGTCTTTTCTTGCCTGCTCTTCTGTTTCCCAGGCACCTCAAACATACTACACGTAGCATGTGCCTTGGTGTCTTGGCAAAGGCTATCTTCTCTTCCAGGAATGGCCTACTCTTTTTTCCATGCCATACCTGTTGCTTCTTGGCATTCATCCACACATTCATGAAGACCCAGAAAAAGCATCTTTCTTCCAAGACTTATCTGACCACCAAAAGTGTTCATCTCTTTCTCTTTTCTTCCAAGTCTAAAGCTATTCTGAAATTTTGTTAACGGTTCTTTCTTTTCACTTGCTAGCAGTATGGCCTTAGGTAAATTACTTAATTTCCATAAGGTTCAGTTCCATTAAGTATGAACTAATAAGATTAATATTGATACTTATCCTTAGAGTATGTTGGGACCATTTATTGATATGATGAAGGTAAATTTCGTAGCACTCACTGTCCCTTGACATCAAGAACACAACAAATGTTTACGTTATTATCATGACTAACATTATTGTTCTATTCCTACTTCCTCTTCCTCTACTCCTAGAAGAGCTTAAGGTCCTACCTAAGCCAATAGAAACCTTTAAGCACGTGGTTGTAAGTTTGCCGTGAGTTTTCAGACTCTGATAACTGAGAGAATAAGCTTTTATACAGATACAGCCCCAGGCTATTTTCAGGTAGCTTTGCTGTTAAATAGCACAGAAAACAGTGTGTGTTTGGCAGTTGTGTATATTAACATTAGCATGGATTTTAACTCAAAGTCAAGGGGAAAACAAACTATCTCTGCCATATTCAGACTCTCTCGGATACTTAGACTCGATTTTACCATTTTATACTAACTCAAATTACTCTCCTCCAGACCTTATTTTTTCTGTATCAAAAACTTTTTTACATACATCTTTTTCAGTGGGGGACTCTTGAATTCGCTTGCTGCTCATCCTCCACTTACCATTGATTTCTTTTCCATGTGGTTCTTTGCTTCATAAAGAAATGTCTGAGTAATCAGGTGCTGCTGTTATGTTAACACCTCTGGGCAGAATGCATATGCAGTTCAGTCATTCCTTAAACTTCAGTCTACTTAGTGAAACATCCACATATTCTTGGCTCATCTCTCTTGTGGCCACAACAAGGACAATGTTTTACAACTATAAAGCTTTGGTTTTTGGTTCAATTCTGAACATCATTCCACATGGGTTTATAACAGTAAACTTTCACAATATTACTGATGCATGACAAATTATCACAAGAAATTAGTAGCATAACAAAATTAAGCATTTATTCCTGAAACATCTGGATGGTCATCCAGGTGATCCCTCCACTGGTGGGGAGGAATGATCCACATGTCTGACAGTAAACTGTTGGCAAAGTCATATGACAAAGAACACAATTACAGAAAAAGGTGAAGAATTTGGACCATTAATAAGATCAATCTGTCATAGAACTTGTTTACATATAAAATCTCCCCTAAATTTAACCCTTTACTTGTTTCACTTTAATAACATGTTGATATCTTTTCCCCCTGTAAATATGCACTATAATAAACACTACAATATTACTTACTATCTGTTGAATGCGAAGTGGTAATCAGAATGAAACACACACATACAACCAGATATATGTCTATTCATCCACCTGGACAGAAAAGTCTTTAATGAACTAATTAAATTAAAGAGAAAGCATGTAAGGCAAGCTAAGCCCTTAAGAAAATATAGTTATACATTATGGAGAGAGATTTAGGGAAAAAGAGAGATCCATAACTGGAGGAGGGTCAAAGAGCTGAAACATTGTAGTGTTAGAAAAGAATGAAATGTTCAAAATCTGATGAGAACAATTAAAAAATGCACAAGGGTTAACTTGAGAGGGTTTCCAAAGGTCAATATGGTACAAGTTGAACCAAATGATGATGATGATGATGATGATGATGATGATGGTGATGATAATGGTGATTATGATGGGATATAGCCCTAGAATAAATTACAATCCTTAAATCTATGCTAAGATAAATGAATAATTGGAGGATAGAGAAAGCTCTTCTTCATAGGAGAATTATAAACAATAAATATAAAAGAATTGATGAAAATAGAAAAACATCACTTGGAAAATTCTAAAGTAACATATTTTTAGGCCAAAATCATTAATCAATACTAAATTTAATGGGTGAATACATGAAGATGCATGGGAAATTTACATGTCTAAAAGCAATTGCCATAAAATATTTACTAATTTCAAAAAGGAAAACAATAACATTATTGTAGAAAATCCTGAAAACACCACTGTAATTAAGTGATCAAAGTTAATATCACTGCAGCCTAACATCATCTGTTCATTAAGACTGACACATAATTTATGAGGTGTTTCTATCAAAAATACATAATCTGAATTTTAAAATAAAGAGACATTCTATAAAGTGGGAGAAATTCTACCAAATGTCCTGCCAGTGGACTTCAAAAGTTTTGCAGTAATGAAAAGACAAAGAAAAACTGAGACCTGAGAACTGGATAAAGCTGGAAACCATCATTCTCAGCCAACTGACACAAAAACGGAAAACCAAATACCTCATGTTTTCACTCACAAGTGAGTGTTGGACAATGAGAACACATGGACACAGGGAGGGGAACATCACACACCAGGGCCTACTGGGGAGTGGGAGAGCTATGGGAGGGATAGCATGCGGTGGGGGGATTGGGGAGGGATAACATTAGGAGAAATACCTAATGTAGATGACAGAGGGATGGCTGCAGAAAAACTGAGAACTATGGGAATTTTAGGGTTTTAAGGGAGTAGTTCAACTAAACACAGGATCCTGTGTTGGATCTAGACCAGAAATAGAATATTAGTGGGATTATTGTCAAGATGTGAATAAAATTTATGGATTAGATAATAGTAATGTATCAATGTTAATTTTCCATTTAAGAAAGAATCACTACACTATGCTTATATAATAACATTTGAGGAATTTGAGCGAGGGGCATATGCCAGCGTTTTTCAATTGCAGCACTGTAAATATTTTGGGTTGTGTAACTGCCTTGGTTGTGAAGGGATACTATGTGTGTTGCAGGATGTTTAGCAGCATCTCAGGTCTCTACACAATTAGATATCAGTAGTAACAACATTTCTAAGTTAAGTCATGTCAACCAAAAAGGAATTCACATATTACCTTAAAGGGGAGAAAGCACAAAATCATCCTCAGTTGAGAATCACTGGAATAAGAAAATTCTGTGTATTATATTTGTAACTATTTTAAAAGACTGAAGTTATCTTAAACTGAAAATTTTCCAAAATTTGAAAAAATGTCTAGCACAGTACCAGCAGATTACTGAGCACTAATTGTCTAATAGGTCTTTTAAAATCCAATGAATAGGCTTCTGTGGCAAATAATACATATTTGGAAAACTTACATTTCAATTTTATTTATTTATTTATTTATTTATTTATTTTGGATGCAGGACTCACTCTGTTGCCCAAGGCTGGAGTGCAGTGGTGTGCTCAGAGCTCACTGCAGCCTCAAACTCCCAGGCTTAGGTGATCCTCCTGCCTCAGCCCTCCGAATAGCTGGGACCACAGGTGCATGCCATAAAAACAGGCTAATTTTTGTATTTTTGTAGAGATGGTGTTTAGCCATGTGACCAGGTCTCAAATTTTGGGGCTCAAGCAACCTACCCTCTTCAGCTTCCCAAAGTGCTGGGATTACAGCATGACCCTGCATGCCCAACTGGAAAATCCACATTTTCAGTGAGAACTTCAACAGCTCTATCCAATTAATCAAAAATTTATTGCAAGACTCCTTAAGTTAACAAACTGGCCGGGTTTTGACAACTCCAACTCTAAATTTATCCTTTCAGCATCCAAAAAATGCCTGTCTATGTAGCAAGTCAATTCTGCCTTGGCAATTTAATGCTCCTTATTTTGGGGGGCTTTTTCAGAATACAAGCCTTTTTCTATTAGGGCTAATTTCACACTTAAAATTTCACTCAAACCTCATTATTCATGTTATTTTCAGAGATCAGCTAAATATGACAATAACAGAAAAGCCTGTAATATAGTTTCACAGAATTTAAAATTCAATGTGATCTGAAAGAAAATGGAAACAATAAAGATAAACACATGGTCTATTCCTCTTAGATTTGACATTTCATTGACAGTTCAGGCTCCAATTTTGAGTCTTTCCTTGCCTTTCAGGTTGTTCAGAACAGCCAGTCAGTCAATGCCAATGAAGAAAGTTGGTGCTGTCTTA